TCAATTCTATTACTGGAGACAGGAGTAGTCTGGTTTTCTATTTCTTCTTAAGTCAGTTTGAAAAATATTTTTCTAGGAGGATGTCCATTTTATTCAAGTTTCCAAATAAAGAACAGTTGTCATTTGCAAACACAGCTCCTTATATTAGAAAAGGAAACATATGGGAAGAGGGGGGAAAAAAAAAGAAAAGAGGGAAACAAACCACAAGAGACTCTATTAGTGATAGAGAACTATGGGTTGACAGAGGGAGGTGGGTGGGACGATGGGCTACATGGATGCTGGGTACTAAGGAGGACAGTTGTGATGAGCACTGGGTGTTGTATGTAAGTGTTGAATCAATGACTTCTGAACCAATACCACACTGCATGTCAACTAAAATTTAAACTTTTTAAAACAGTGAAAAAGATAAAAATAAATTTTAAAAATAAGAAAAGGAAAAATTAAACACTTACAGCATAAATGCCTTCCTAAGTGCCCCTCTAAAGGCATTCCAAGTTTTGTTTTTTTAACTATCGTTCCACTCTAAACATTTTCTCCTTCCCATTATTTTCTTCTTTGACCCATACATTATTTAGAAGTACATGTATCAGTTTCCAAACACAGGGGTCTTTCTGGTTTATTAATTTCTAGTTTTTAACTACAACACAGACAACAGTCTGTATGATACGAATCCTTTGAAATGTGATGAGATGTGATTTATGGCCTAATATGTACTCAATTCTATAAATCTATATATTCTTAAAAAGAATGTGTATTTGTTAATGTTCTATATGTCTACTAGGATCAAGCTTGCTAATGAGTTGTTCAAATCTGATTTTTAAGTATGTTAAAAAAAAATTTTTTTTAATGTATTTTTGAGAGAAAGACAGCACGAGTGGGGGAGGGGCAGAGAGAGGGAGACACAGAATCACAAACAGGCTCCAGGCTCTGAGCTGTGAGCAGAGCCCGACACGGGGCTCGAACTCACAGACCTTGAGATCAAGACCTGAGCTGAAGTCAGACACTTAACCGACTGAGCCACCCAGGCTCCCCTAAGTATGTTTTACACTTAATGAGTGAATCCATTAACAATTCCTACCACAATGAAGAGTTTGCCAGTTTCTCCTCAGAATTCTGTCAAGATAAGAGTTCTCTCTCAGAATGATTGCCACTGGAGTAAATGTTAGATCAGTGGGAAAAACTACATTGGGCTGACTAATCATTTTGATAAAACAAAACATATCCCTCAGTCATTTTATTTACCAAAGTAAGTTCCAGCTAGGCAAAATTATTTATTCAATTTATGTATTTTTTTTAAAGTTTATTTATTTATTTTGAGAGAGAAGAGGGTAGGGGAGAGGAGGGGCAGAGAGAAAGGGAGAGAGAGAGAATCCCAAGCGGGCTCCGTGTGGTCAGCACAGAGCCCCCACATGGGGCTTGAACCCACGAACCATGAGATCATGACCTGAGCTGAAATCAAGAGTCGGATGTCTAACTGACTGAGCCACCCAAGCACCCTCTTTTACTTATTTTTTGAGAGCATTTCATATACTAGTGATGTTATCCTTTGTTGATTATGTGTATTTTTGCCAAGTTTAATTCGTCCATCTTTTCACAGTTTCTGGCTTTCATCTTGTACTTAGAAATAAAGCCCTTTTCTTCAAGACTAGGACCACATTTGTACAAACTTTTGTTTGTACAAAATTTTTTTTTTAATATTTATTTTTGGCAGAGAGAGAGCATGCGAGCGAGCACGCACACTCACCAGTGGGAGAAGGGCAAAAGAGAGGGAGACAGAGGATCCCAAGAAGGATCTGCGCTGACAACAGAGAGCCTGACTCGGGTTCCCACTCGCGAACCGTGAGATCATGACCTGAGCTGAAGTCAGACGCTTAACAGACTGAGCCACCCAGGTGTCCCTGTACAAACTTTCTAAAGGACATTTTGATAATATGTGTCAACTGTTTGCTTTTTATATGAACCAGCATTTCTACTTCCAGAAATTGCCCTAATTAGATAACCAGATATATATACAAGGATACTCCTTTAAAAATGTTTATCTACAAATAAATTTGGGAATACCCTAACTGTCCATTAGCAAAGGCTTAATTATCAAAGCATGTCCACACAACAGAAAGCTGTATACATTAGGGTGAGAGTTACCTTCATTAGTGGATATGAAAAGTTACCCAAAACACAGTGAATGAAAAACGCTGGAAGACAAACATAAGCCCAATGACGTGTTACATAAAATGACGTGTACAGAGATAAATTTATCTGGTTGTGTGATCTTAGATAAACTGCTTGACTTTTGTTTTGCTTTTCTCTTCTAATGTTCTTTTGTTTCTGTTTTTGTTTTAAAAGAGAGAGTAGTTTTTTAGAGGAAAGGGGCAGAGAAAGAGGGAAAAAGAGAATCTTAAGCAGGCTCCATGCTCAGCACGGAGCCTAACATGGACTTAATCCCACAACCCTGAGATCATGACCTGAGGTGAAATTAAGAGTCAGATGCTCAACCAACTGAGCCACTCAGTGGCCTCTGCTTTTATCTTCTACCAAAAGAGGTTAGTAGTAATTGCCTCATAAGACTATTCTAAGAATATCCAATATACTGTGCTTAGAAGGCAGCAGTCGTAGCTATTAGCATCACAACTAGACATAAAGGCCTGAGAAGTACCCATACCACAATGGCATCCAGGGTTTGTGCTCTCAGATAGGATTTCAGGTGAATTTCAATGTCCTTTTTTATACTTCATATTTTTCTGTATTGCCACTAATCTAAAATTCTTTCAAAGACTCCTTCTGGGTTCCAGAATTCCCTGACAACCTTTCTTTCTTTTTTTTAACTTTCTTTTTTTAACATTTATTCATTTTTTTTAAGTGAGAATGAGAGAGAGAGAGAGAGAGAGAGAGAGAGACAGAATCTGAAGCAAGCTCCAGGCTCTGAGCTGTCAGCACAGTGCCTGATGTGGGGCTTGAACCCACCAACCGTGAGATTGTGACCTGAGCGGAAGTCCAAGCTCCCCTCCCTGACAATCTTTCTTTTGACAGTACTAATTTTCCTACTGGCCGCTGCATGTGATCATTTGTGGACATCCGTGTCCCCTTGGATCTTTCAGCAGAAATCGTGGCTCCTCTGCTGACACCCTGGCCTGGACTCTCTAACACTGCCTCTTCTTCCCATGTGGCCACTACCCACAAGCCAGCAGAGATGCAAGGTAACGTGACAAACTATCAACATGGCCTCTCAACCGTATCTAGTTCTTACCAACTTCTTCACCAATCCAGTCATTTTCTCACTGTTCCCCAGAACAGTTCTGGTTTATCTCCACTTTGGGGTATTTACTCCCATCTTTACTCCTGCCTAGAGCACTCTCCACCCTTTCCTCAAGCATCCCTCAAAACCGGGCCCATCTCTTAAACCTCAACCTCCTCCATAAAGCAGACTAGTAGAGCTCTCCATAGGCTCAAAGAATACCAGGTAGAACACGGAGGAAAGGATGGCTTCTGGTGTGAAGTGCCCAAGAGTAAATATTTTTGGCCTGTGGATCATGCAGTATTTTGTAACTATTGGGGTCTGTCATGTGGCACAGAGGCAGCCACAGACAACATGCAAACAAATGAGTGCAGCTATTTTCCAATAAAACTTTATTTACAGACACTGCAATCTGACTTTCCTATAATTTCCACAAGTCATGAAATGAATCTTTTTTTTGCAACCATTTATAAATGTAAAAATCAGGTACCCGCTGCGTTTAGCCCTTGGGTGATTGTTTGCTGGGCTCTGTTCTGTCTAGTTCAACAGCCTCATTTTAAAGAGCGCAAAGTCTGAGGCGCCTGGGTGGCTCAGTCGGTTGAGTGTCTGACTCCGGCTCAGGTCATGATCTCATGGTTGGTGGGTTTGAGCCCCACATCGGGCTCTGTGCTGACAGCTCAGAGCCTGGAGCCTGTTTCAGATTCTGTGTCTCCCTCTCTTTCTGTCCCTCCCCCACTCTCACTTTGTCTCACTCTGTCTCTCAAAAATAAATAAATGTAAAAAAAAAAAAAAAAAAAAAAAAAAAAAAAAAAAATTTAAAGAGCGCAAAGTCAAGCCCCGAGAGCCTCTGAAGAAATTGTCCAACATTAGTTAACTGACAGTGACGAGGACCAGAACCCAAATCCTCAGTCTCTGGCCAGCACAGAAGTGTTCAACGTGCTAAAATACAGGAGGCACAGAAGGCCATTTTCTCTTTCATTTTCCTACACACCTATGTACTGGTGCTTTGATTAGTTTCCATGTTTTCCAATCTTAGAGTGTCTTCTATTTCTTCTGTAGGTCCTCTAGCGTCCTCCCCTGGATCACAGATTTGTGTGTGTCCACAGTATAATTCAATACAGAAATTGCACTAAATAAAAATGTCATTATTTTCCCCCTCGGGCGGGGAGGTGGTGGGGGAGGGGAGGTTGGGGAGACCCATTGTGTTTTTGGTAACATGTAAAATATTTATAACTCTACTTTTTTTTTCAAGTTTTAGATATTAAATATCCACTTGGATTAATTTCATTATATGAATTAAGATAAGTGTATTCAGGCATACATTATATAAAGTTGACAATTTTAGGTTTGCTTAATTAAATGGTTTAAATCATAATTAAAAGTGTATTATAAGTTTTTTTTTAATTTTTTTTTTTCAACGTTTATTTTATTTTTGGGACAGAGAGAGACAGAGCATGAACGGGGGAGGGGCAGAGAGAGAGGAAGACACAGAATCGGAAACAGGCTCCAGGCTCTGAGCCATCAGCCCAGAGCCCGACGCAGGGCTCGAACTCACGGACCGCGAGATCGTGACCTGGCTGAAGTCGGACACTCAACCGACTGCGCCACCCAGGCGCCCCTAAAAGTGTATTATAAATTCTTAATAGGCTTTCTCTCATGTTAAAGTTTGAAGCAACCAGGTTTTTATCCCTTGTTTGTACCCAAATCAACAAAGAGTCAATAAAATCAAAATTCACTTGTTCCCTTGAGATTAGAATGATTTTTTTTTTCCTTTATCATCGTAATTAAACCCTCATGAATTAGCCAGATGAAAATCTCCAGAACCCTAATGGTCTGGGAAGTATTTTTTGGCCTTAAAAAAAGAAAAAAAGACACTAGTGCCCAAACACCGGCTTAAAAAGAAAGTCAAAGCTCTGCGCACCCAACTTTTTAAAGGTCTGTGTTCCTCTTGCAAGAGCAGGTAATACCTACTCCGATGACGTCAGTGTTGTAAAGCCCGTTTGTAACAGTGAGACATCCCCAAACAAAGGATTTGGATCATAAGACAGAAATTATTCCAATTTTATTTTTTAAGTTTCTCCTATTCTTTCTGAACCACACAGGGTAACTAAACCAGGATTACCTACTTGAGACTCACCAAAAATGGACCCATGTACCACGGATAACAATTAAAAAAAACAAAAATCACTTTTTCTTTCTTCTTTCTCTAGATGCCAGAGTTCCCATGTGATCTTTGCAGATCATCCCGTCCCAGACTAAATTTACAATGTGCTTATGGAGCCAGAAGAATGTTACTGCAGAAACAACTGAAGGAAAATTAGGTGAGATTACAGAGGAAGTAAAGGTAGGAAGTAAATAAAAGGACAAAGCTCCAGTCCTAGCATCACGATACTGGAGGGAAACTGATGACAAAAGGTGAATGAAAGCATTTATTCTGCAGAACCCAAAACCATTTGGTCTCACATTTCGAATATCCATATCAAAAAACTAGCATGAGGATTCCTTTGACCTGGTTACCGAAATTTTTTATGAAGCACTAAACTACACTCAACCCCAAAAGATGAAACCTGATTTTTTTTACATAATGTATAAATTTTCACGTTCCAGTCACTACAGTTTGACCAGCAGAAAGTTGACCGCATGGCACAAAAAGAAAGGTTCGGCGTGTTCCAGTGTCCTCGGCAAAAAAAATGATCTCATTGCAAGAATGACAACAGAAGAGGGAGTGACCAGTATTTTTGTAGGTCTATCCTCCTCAAGGTCCCCAACCTTCCAGGACCCACTAATTTATTTTAAATCTTTCCCACTTTCCTACATTGTATAAGGGAAAGGAATGAGTTGAAAAGGGGTGTCATTTCCAACCTGCCGCCTAAGCCTCGCTGCTGAGGCCAGCTTTTTGTCCCCAAGTTCTCCAACCCCTGTGAGGCACTGCTATTTCACGGCTGTCTTCTTAGCCCCACAAAATGGCTCCCTTTGTGCCACTTGCCCAGGACCCCCAAGCTGGCCGCACACGACTGCAGGTCGTGATCAATGAAGAATAGATGCCTAGAAAAAGTGAAACCTAAGCTTCCTACAAGCCCTGAGCAGGATCCCAGAGATGCCTGTATCCCGTCTTAAAAGAGAACAGTGTGCAATTAGCCGAGACAATGTGGACACCTTCCGCCGGTTCCAAACCCTTCCACCAAGTCAGGCAAGGGCTTGGAAAAGGATCCCAGTGCAAACACCCAGTGCCCTCATCCCCTAATGCAGTAGCGACTGTGGCCAGAAAGGCCCCGGCATCCCAGGTGCAGATAGTACGGAAGAGACAATGGATGTCTCCGGCCCCGCCCAAGAACAGGAAACCTCCTCCTGCTAGGGAACCCGGGCCAGGGAAGAACTCGTTTGACAAACGTCAAAAGGGGGAGGGAAAGAGGTGGGATGCAAAGGCCGAGGTCCGAAGGTTTGAGCGCAGAAAACCCACTCGGACAGGCTCGCCACCCTTTTGCGTTCGGAGGTGGGCGCGGGAGGGGAAGGAGCAGGGGTCTTTCCTTTGTTAGCAGAGGAGAAGCACTTCGCAGAGGGCTGACGGTTGGGTCCCGGACGCGCGTGGAGGTCGCGATGACCAGCCCCGCCCGACCACAAATGCCACCTGCCGGGCGGGCCCCAGTGGATAAGCGCCCGCAAGACTCAATCGCTGCGGCCGAAGGGGGTGGCCACCGGGCCGGGGGGGGGGGGGGGGGGGGGGACCGCCACCTGCCCGGGGCCAGAGGCAAGAGCGCGTGGCCAGAGGTGGGACAATGGGGCCTGATCGGGACGCCCCGGGGGCTGCCCCGGCACGTGGGGGCCAAGACCACCGCCCTGGGGCCGGTCAGCCGCACCGCAAAGGGAAGGAAACGAACCCTGTCCGCTTGGCCTGACTACCGAAAGCCCGCAGCACTGCGAGGACCAGCGGCCCCGGCCCTCCCCGACCGACCCCTCGCTCCGGGGGAGGAATGAATGGGAGAGAAGCGGGAGTCGGGCGGGGCCGGCGCGACGGGCTCGCCCGACGGCACAAAGACGGAGCAGACGGTCGAGCCCCGCCGCCCGGCCGGGCACGAGCGCGACAGCCAGGGCACGTCACCGCCAACGACCCGCCGCCCTGCCCCCGTGGCCCCGCCGGACGGCGGCCTTCCCTGCCCTCGAGCCCCACGCCGAGCGGGGGCGTCCCCGCAGCCTCACCGGGAGCTATTCCTGCTGTTGGGGTCGACTCCCTTGAAGGTGGTGGTGGTGGTCATGGTGCCGAGGAGCGAGGTAGGCTGGCGTGGGAGCAGAGTGCTGAGGGTCGGGTCCGAGGGGGCGCAGAGCAGCTCCGCACCGCAACGCCAGCAACCGCTGCAGGAGCCTCCGCCACCGCCTGCCTCACGGGCCGCAGCCTTTATAAGGCTCAAAAGAACCCGCCCCCACCGTGCCTGTATTGGCCAATTCAAATAGCTCTTTCGTTCCTATTGGTTCCCTGAAGTGCCAAGCATCGGGCGGCACCCCGACGGGCTGCGGTGGCCCTGCTCGGCCTAAACCCGCCCCCTTCCTGGTCAGGGTGGGTCTATGGAAGTTCCCCCTCCCCCACCCCCAAATCTTGGTGATGATTGGACAAAGGACAAACCTGCCCAGCGTTGGGCACAAGTTGTGCTCACTGTCACTTAAAAAAGTTACCTGACTGAGGGAAAAGCTCGGTCAGCCCCCACCAAGCCCAGGGCAGATTTGTCTTGACCATTTCACTTACGTGCCTTACTCATGGTGAGATAGTAAGGGCATGCTCCTTAAGGGATGAAAATTACTGCTGCAAATTGACATTCATTGAATACCTACTGTGTGTCCCGTTTGGAAACATGACAGTCTCAAAGCAGCAGCACTATGAGTCAGCAACAGAAAGCAAGCCAAGACGATCCCTTTGAAAACGACTGGAAATTCTTCACATTTTAATGTTACTATTTAGCTGTCAGGGGTGGTGCATGTACTAGACCAAAATTACAGTCGTTCCGATTTGAGGGCCTGTTCTAAGGCTGGTTAATGCTCGGCGATGGGGAATGGTCACATCCCTTGCTACCAAGACTATCGAGCAGGCCTGGCCTCTGCAGCTGTTTATAACCCTTAAGTCATGACTCTTCCACCTGTCTGGGTAAATCTATCCCTGCAACAAATGCAGACACTTGGAGGACTCAAGAATGGCTGTTTACAAGATCGTAATGGGAAAGTCTTGAGCAAACAAGAGTGGAGGCCTTCCCATGTCATGCATGTTTCCTCAAGGCAGACCCTCTTCAGTATTTCCATAAAAATTGAACAACATTCGACTCTGTGTGGCCTCCCCCTTCTTGGCAGTTTGGAAGTTTATATTCTTGGTTAACCTCTCTCCTGGGTTTTCGTGAAAAGGTAGAGATAATAAGTTCACTCCTAAAAGGCATGGATCATGTCTTTATGTGCTGACCACTCATTTGAATTAAAATCTTCCCATTCTTTTTTTTTTTTTTTTTTTTTTTGTAAGATTTTATTTTTAAATAAACTCCACACCCAACCTGGGGCTTGAAACACAACCCTGAAGTCGAGTCTTCGCCCCACTGGCCGAGACAACCGAAGCTAAAATCTTCCCATTCTTAAAGACTGGGCCTAAATTTCTGAAACTTTTGAAAAAACAGAACACCTTTCAGACCAAGTTGGCCAGTGAGCACACATACCCTTCTAGTAAGTCATATAATTATCGACTAAGAGGTAGAGTATGGTCTCTCATAGGAGAAACCAGAGTTTGAATCTGAACTCTTACCTTTTCTGAGCACTAGTTTCCTCATTCGTAAAAATAAGGACAAAATAGTATTTCAACTCCAGACTTGTAAATGAAGTAATGGATAGAAAGTGTTTGGCTCCGCACGTAAGAAGTCATCAAAGTGATAGTAGCTATGCTTATTGTCAGATATACTTGGAAAGTAATTACAAACTTTTTAACAATCTGAAAATTGTTTTTTATATATTAAATGAGGGGGTTGGACATATCTTCAGGTGGGTCCCTTTTGGTCTAAAGTTTTGAGTTCATACTTGACTTGCCCTATTTCCTCCATCCCCTGTAATGTAAAAGACAGATTGGTAGGGCAATACACCAGACTGGAAATTGAAAACCGTTAATTCTGATTCTGCTCCCTTAAAAAGACACTTCTCCCATAAAAGACACTTCTAGGTCATTTATGCTCTTGCTTCCTCATCTATAAATGGGATTAACAGCACCTATTCTACGTTGTTGTGAAGGGCTTGAAACGAGAGAATTTTAAGAATGTTGACTTGGTAAACTAAAGCTTTCTATGAGAGCTGCCCCATCCTGGCTGAACATCAGAATAACCTATGAGCTTTTAAGGAACAAAAATGAATGCCAGGCCCCCTCTGAGATCTCCTGAATTGGAATTTCCGGGGG